GGTGGGGGGGGGGAAATGGGGGGATGAGGACACATATGTAATACCTTAATCAATAAAGAAAAAAAGTTAAAAAGAAAAAAAAACTTTACATTTTAATCAGTTACTTTTATTAAAATATATTTTTATTGATTTCAGAGAGGAAGGGAGAGGGAAAGAGAGATAGAAACATCATTGATGAGAGAGAATCATGGATCGGCTGCCTCCTGCATGCCTCACACTGGGGATGGAGCCCACAACCCAGGCATGTGCCCTGACCTGGAAACGCACCCTGACCTCCTGGTTCATGGGTTGACGCTCAACCACTGAGCCACGCCGGCCAGGCTCAGACAGTTGATTTTTGACCAGAGTGCCAAGGCAATCCGGTGGGGAAAAGAGTAGTTTTTTAAGCCAATGGTGCTGGCGTGACTGCGTAAACCACATGCAAAAGGCTGGAATGACCCTGCCCCACAGCACACTCAGAGTTGACTCAGGATGTCAGCCCAGTGCAGAAGCTGAGGCCATGGGACCAGGAACAGGAGTAAGTCTTTGTGAGCTTGAGGAATGGCTTCTTAGATGCGACAGAGGACAAGTGACAAGAATGGTGCCTTGACTTCCTCAAAACCAAAAACATGAAGAGACAACCCAAGAATGAAAGTATTTGAAAGGGTAGTATTCAGAATATTGAGTTAAAAAGTGGACAAAGTATTTGAATTTGTTTCTTGAAAGTAGATACACAAATATCCAGTGAGCACATTAAAAGCCATCAGGCAAATGCAGATCCAAACCACGATGAGATGCGGCTCCCCCACCGGGATGGCGGTGCTGGAGGGACCGCAGTGACAAGTGTGGAGAACGGGGCCGCCCTTCGGGAGAGCAGCTGTCACCCCTCAAACGGGAACACAGTGACCGTGCGGCCCAGCAGTGCTGCTCCCGGGTGTGTCCACCCAAGAGAAACAAGAACGTGTTCACAGAAACTGGCCCATGAACGTCCATAGCAACATTATTCATAGCAGCCAGAGAGGGGAAATGGCCCCGTCCGTCACGGAGGGTGTGGCATGTCCACATAATGCGACGTTCTTCAGCAAAGGACGGCGCACTGGTCCTTCCTGCCGTGAACCAGCGAGGTGAAAGGAGCCTGTGAAAGGAGCCTCAGAAAGGACCCTGGGAGACTTTCGGGGGGGCGGGGTGCAGCCGGGCCTGGGAGAGCCGAGGGGCTGCTGAGTGCTGCTGCCGGGCCCGCTCTCCCCGGGGTGACGCAGTTTTTACAGGACTGAGCGTGGTGGTGGAGGCCCGGCTCTGACTGTCCCAAAGCCCGTGAACCGTGTGTTTTGAGTGAGCGGGTCGTGTGATGTGAGTATGTTCCAGCACAGCCGATGAGAGCCCGGGCATGGGTCGGGGTGGCGCGTGGCCTCGCCTCTGGCGTGAGCCCTCTGACTCGGAGAGCAGGTAGTCCAGTTGGGGAGTCTGCTCCAAGGCCCGTTCCTCGCGCTTTCCGGGAAAGGTGGGTGTCCTGTGCCACCACTTGGCGTCTGCTTTTTGCTTGTTCTGCTGGGTCCTCCTCACGCCCACTGATGGAGAAGCCGAGGCACAGAGAGGTGGCGTTGATGCCCAGGGTCAGTGCCGCCCGAGACCAGGCGGGCGGTGTGTCCTGGCTCAGTTGACCACTGTGCTGCCCGCCCTCAGTATAATGTTAGCAATATCTTCCTTCATAAATTCCCTTTTCGTCAATTAGGGCTTTTGATGTACTCAGTGAATTCATTTTATACAAAGATTAAGTCTTTCTTTAGACCAAACTTTACTGTAAATTTCGGACTTAGTACTTTAACCTGGGTGATAGGCTCCTGCCCTCGGTGCTTCCAGGATATGAGACGGTCCGTTGGCTGGTTCAGCGCCAATCAGGAGGAAGCATTGGCGAGCGGGACGGCTGTTCTGAAACCCCAGGAGCTGTTAGCAAGTCCCGGGCCCAGCTGCATTCCCCGCTGCTTGCTGGGCGCACGGGCGGCTTGTTCTGGGCAGAGGTTGTGGCTAGTCCAGGTTACTCATTAGCCAGCAGAGCCCAAGTCCATCCTGGGATGCCTGTTATGAGCTGGGCGTCTTGAGCGGCCGACCGACCTGCCACATTTGAGATAGAGATGGTGCGGGGTGGCACAGAGGTCAGACTGCAAGCCTGGTGAGGCCTGGCCCAGTGCCAGTTGATTCCTGAAGTCCGCGGAGGGCAGTAAACCCCGTACCTCCCCAGAGCAAGTTCTTTATCTGAAAATATGAGCTTCCTGCTGGAGCCGCTCCCAATAGTGTGGGTGGCCGAGTTGTGTGA